CTGGCACTTATGGCATTGCTGGACACATGCTCAGGGCATGTGCAGGAGCACTTTCTGGTGTCTTTATGGACATTTTTAACCTGTCCCTCACCCAGGCAGCTGTGCCAACATGCTTCAAAATCACCTCCATTGTGCCAGTGCTGAAACATTTTATCCATGACGTGCCTGAATGACTGTAGCACTCACACCCATTGTCATGAAGTGCTTCCAGCACCTTGTCCTGGCACACCTGATGTCTCCCACCCACACTGGACCCCCACCAATTTGCCTACTGCAGGAATAGGAGCATGGAGGATGCAGTCTCCATAGTACTAGCCTGTGCATGGCAAGGTTGTTGAATGTGTCTCCAGCTTCAAATTCCTGGGGACCCGCATCTCAAAGGATCTGTCCTGGACCACCAACACCTGCAGCCTGGTTAAGAAGGCTCACCAGCGCCTCTTCTTCCTGAGGACACTGAAGAACCACCTGTCCTCAGCCATCCTAGTGAACTTCTACCGCTGTGCCATCAAGAGCATTCTGACCAGCTGTATCACAGTATGGTATGGAAACTGGTCTGTCTCTGACCGCACGACATTGCAGCATTTGGTGAAAACTGCCCAACGCATCACAGGGACTCCACTTCCAGCCATTGAGGGTGTCCACAATGAACACTGTCCCTGACATGCTCGCAGCATTCTCAAAGACTCCTCTCACCCTGCTCACAAACTGTTTGACAATTGCCCTCTGGGAGGTGCTTCAGGAGCCTCTGGACCAAAACCAGTAGACTCAGGAACAGCTTCTTCCCCACAGCTGTCTCCTTACTGAACTCTGTCCCCTGTTGACCCCCCACTGCGCTCCTCTATACCACTACACACACCTCACCCTGTCTCATCTCTCCTCCTGGGACTAATGTAATGGGCTTCTGTTACCTGTAACACTGAAGTGATCTGTTAATTTGCACATACTCTACTCACAGGATGCTGCTCTGTATTCTTTTGCACACTGTTCATATGCAGATACTGTATATTTATCTTTATCTTTGCACTATTGACATCCATTGAACTGTTCACTCAGATAACTTATCTTATTCTGCACTGTTTCATTCCATCTCATCCCATTGCACTAGTGTTCCATAAGCTTAATGTACC